CTCTCCCTTCCCCAGTCCTGTGCTGGTCTCAGGAAGCACCTGACCCTTCAGAACCCCTCACAAACCTAGAGTCTGTAGCATTTTAAAGGTTTCCCACATTGGACATGTAGACTCCAAGATTTTTCCTGGTCCCTAAAATGTTAGTAGAGCATAAAGGGACATTCTAGGAATTTGGACACCCAAAGTAGCAGCTCCTTCAAGATAATGAGATCTTGATGAGCACAGGCCTAGAGCATTACTTGCCACTCCCAAGGTAGAAGTGGTTTTCTGCTGACATCTTCACAATCTTCATCTAAAGTGGCTTTAGCCCTCAGTGAGGGGTGAGGTAAGAGAAAGACTATGGCGCATTGACATCGGAGGTCTAACAAAGGCCATGGCGAACATTTGTGACCATCGTCCTCTCCCCCTGATGTTTAGAACCATAGCTTTCCCTGGGATGTGGTGAGCAACTTGAGAGCAGGGCTATGTGGCCCACTCATTATCGTATCCCTGACACCAAGTTCAAGTTCAGAGCTGTTTGGTGACAAACACATGAAGAAATAACAGAGGGGTATGGTGGAATGAGGACAGAAAAGAGAGCAGATAAGAGGGCTTGTTTCACTACCACCTACTCGGTAGGGTCATGTGGGGACTTTCTGGGGGACCCTGTCTTGGGAGTCCAAGCCAAGGGCAAGCTATCTATGGCTTCCATGCCAACAAAGTAGAAATCATGGAGACCCCAACATGGCAGGTCAAATAGTCAAAGCAGCTGATCCAGAGAAAATCACCTGGGGAACCTGGTTGAAGAGAACTCTTAAACCTAACCCCCTACCCAGGCTGCTGCTCGCTTCTTGAACTGAATTGTGATTTCACCATTTTCCAAGTACCCTGTCCTTCCCAGCCCCCATGCCGTGGAGCAGCTTAGGCCTTCTCCCAGTTCTGGTCTCTACCGAGTGCTCTGGAGTCAGCAAGCTCCATGGCATGAGGATCAGGGGTGCCAGCCTCATCCCACCTGTAGGGTCTCCTGAGCCCACAGCAGCTCTCCTCTTGGGGAAAGTGTGCTGGAAGGCAGACAGGGCCAGCCAGGAACAATGACTCTGAGTAGGGGCTCCTGGGGCTGCCAGGGCCCGGCCTCAAATGCATACACTGCAACTGCTTATTCCATGTAGTTCCTGGGCACACAACCTCCAACACTTCCCCCAGGGGAGGGTAGCTTTTCTCTCCAGTTGCTGGCCCCAGGCTGTGAGCCAATCTCCATTTGAACCCCCTCAGGCCTTGGATTCTCAGGGCTTCCTGGGCTTAAGGGGAGGAGAGAGGGAAACTTCTAGAAGGGTGGAGGGATCCAAGACCTTGCTTCTGTGGAAATCACCCTATGTCCCCCTTTGCCCAGGCCCAAATGTGCCTCTCTCCTCGGACTATCCAGTTATGTTCCCATCAGTGGGAAACAGACTATCGTCAAGATGGGATCTTTCTGGGTTGAAACAGAAAGGCATGGGGGCTGCCAGCCTTTTTCTTCTCAGAGTTGGCGGCCACCCCTTGGGCTAAGAGGCTGGGGGGCCTCTGACTATGGGATGGGAAACTCAGCTATCCTCATCAAGGGCACCTGGACAGGGTTGGGGAGGGAGGCAGGCTCTGGAAAGACATTTGCTGCTTTCCTTGGGGCCAGCCCAGAACAGGGGTCCCAGCAGGTCCCAGAGGGGCCACTTATAGCCTGGAGATGGGCTTCTCACCAAGGAACACCTGCACAACACCACTTTCCGCTAATGGACTGCTCACTTCAGCCTCCTCTCTTTTTCTTCATCAGTGTTTATTCCAGGAGAAGCTGGTCCTGAGTTAGGAGCAGAGGGGGCAAGGGTGAACCACATGTCTGCACACACAGCATGGAACATGGCTACATTTCTGCTGCCAGTAGGAAAGTTTTTCTTGCCAACTCAGTGTCTGGTCCACTTGGCCACCCTAGCCTCCTCCCAGATGCTGCATCCATCTCGAAGTCTCTGCTCCCCCACAGCTCCCTTCCCTGGGCAAGTTCCAGTCAGTTGGTTCCTTGGTCACCTCTCTCCTTGACCTCATTTCCCTCTGACTCTGGTCCCCCTAAGCAACACTCCCTTCTCCCTCTCTTGTCTCTTCTTTTGTATGTAATGACATTTCAAGTATGATTCTTTTTTTTTTTTTTTTTTTTGACAGAGAGAGGGAACACAAGCAGGGGGAGTGGGAGTGGGAGAGGGAAAGGCAGGCTTCCCGCGAAGCAGGAAGCCTGATGTGGGGCTCGATCCCAGGACCCTGGGACCATGACCTGAGCCAAAGGCAGACGCTTAATGACTGAGCCACCCAGGTGCCCCTCAAGTATGATTCTTTTTACTTTGGTCCGTCTCCCAGCTGTGCACTCTCTCCTTCAATTTCTTTCTGCAGATTAAGACTTCAGCAGTTCTAACTCCTTTTCTTGCCCTGCTCTGTCCAGAGTCCCAGCTTCTCCAGGGTTTGAGATTGGTCAAACAGCCCTTTGTTTGGACCTTTTTCTCAAAAGGGATGGATGAAGTCAGGAGCAGCAGAGAGGGAGTAGGCCCAGCTGGCTTTGGTCCAACCTCCTATCCTCCCAACCGGGGTGAGGTGGGGTGGGGAACAACTTCCTTTCCTGCCAGGCTCTGTTTCTGATGGCAAGAAAGTGTCATCTCGGTGATGCTCCAATGTCACCCCACCTTTCCCTGGTCCCTTCCATGAGTCTCTAAGACTCCCCTTGGCCATCACCTGGGCTATTACCACTTTTTGGGACCAGCCCTTGGCTTCTATCCTTGGACTAAAGGTACCGAAGAGGCAGCTTCCAGACACAATCCCAGGCCCTGTGAGCACTCACATCCACAAAGCCTGGATTTTGGGGATTTCCCTTCCTCAGTCCTGCACTGGTTTCAGGAAACATCTGACCCTTGTCCATGATAAGCCCATGCCACCCTCAGAACTCCTTACAAATTGGGGCATATCCAAGGGCTTCCTTGGTCACCACTCCCACAGGACTATCAAGGTCCTGAGTGGTTTCCTTTCCCCAACATCAGTGCTGCTCAAGATCAGGACCCTGATAACATGGGCGAGTATGTGGGTTTGTTTTTGTTTTTTGTTTGTTTGTTTTTTGGGTTTTTTTGTTTGTTTCTTTTTTTTAGACTCAACTTCTGAGTGGGCAAAAAACATTCCAGCTTCCAACTTCCTGGCTGGTCACAGTGAACCTTCTATATTTCCTGACTGAGAGGATTTCCCCTGGCATTTCCCGAATGTTCATTTTCTCTGGATGCGTGTATGTGTGCAAGCCACAACCACAGTGTGTATAGACCCAAGCAATCAGTCCAGGCCTTGCATTTCTATTTCCATTCCCAGCATGCCAGTGTGCTTTTTCTCACTATGGACAAAGATACTTGAATACAGGAACTTTGTCTCATTCATCTTTGTATCCCCACTGCCTAGTAAAGCTCAAACAAAGATTTGATAAAGCAATGACCTTATGCATGGGTGAAACCCTCGACAAATTCCAGAGGATACTGACAAAAGGAAAATCAAAAGGGGAGTGAGAGAGACGCCCCGGCCAGGACTCCACCCCTTGCCAAGATGCGTGGTAGTTGAGCCATTGGGAAGTTGGTTTACTGGGACAGTCTTCTGAAGGGACTTTCCCACAAAATCCTCTGTCCGGGTCTGCTGGTGAGCACATGTGAGCATGCTCCAACAGCAACACCAGAGTTAGATGTCCCCGAGCCCTTGCCTGAAGAGAAATCCAACTCCAAATCTTCCTTCTCGGCTGGTGCTCACTGAGCTATGTGGAGAGCCATTGATTATCTTCCTTGAGACTACTACCTTTCCCCAGACTTTTGAGTCCAGTTTCCATTCCTGTTCATGGCCTGTCTCCACCCAGAGCATTGGGCCTTTGAGGCAACAGAGCTGGTTGACGAAGCACCCCTTGAGGAGCCCAGAAATAGCTCCCCCACAGCTAGGGTGGAGGGAAGAAAAAGTGTCAGTTGCTCCTGGCGGGGTTTCCCTGAACAGCCTGGCAGGGGCTCTTAGGGGAGGGAACATGCCTTGGCAGCCCTCTCTCTTATCTATTCCAACATGTCTGGACCCATAATTCTTCAGGCAGCCTTCCTGGAGGAGGCAGCTCAACGTTCTCCTCAGCTTAGGAGCTACTTCCAGGTCTCTCTCAGGCCTGGCTTCCCCTTGTGTGCCCTGAAGGGATGACTCAGGCTGGGGTGTGAGGGGTTCAGAAGGTGCCCTCGACTGCCCTTCCCCCCGCCCACAGGGTTCCATACTGGATGCTTAACTGTCCACCATTAGAGGGGTGTTTCCTGGTCACTGAACTGATTACTGTTAAGCTGTTCATTTCTTTCTGAAAAGGATTCCCAGTTCCCACCCTCCCACCCCACCTCACCTGGTTCCCCCTTCCTTTCCCTTGTTTCTGGGGCTGGGCTTCGGTGAGGGAGAGTTGGGAAGAAAGGCTGAGGGGACATAGACAAGACAAGGGCACTTTTGGGCTTTCTGTCCCCTCCTGTGTTTCTCCAGCTGGCCCCTTTGCTCCCTGCCTCTGCCTGCTTCCCTCTCAGCAATGACCTGGGAAGAAAGAGGACACCCCACAGGTCCCAGGGCCACCCCCGCCAGCCCTGGTCAGTGCGCTGCTTCTGCGCTTCAGCCCCTCTGTGCTGCCCCTGGACTTGGCCTCCCCCAGGCCTCTACCTTTCTCCCTCCCTTTTTCTCCCTCACCCACCCACCCTGCTTTTTTTGACTTCCCACCATTCCCCCTCCCTTTTAGTGTCACTGCCATCTTGACAAGGGTTTCTGCTTTATCTCTAACTTTCTCTGTCCCCCCCAACCCACCCCGGACACTGTGCCCTTGAGATTCTTCCTTTCCTCCTGCATAGTCATCTCTCGATGGCTCTCTTTCACAAGAACCGGGGCTCAAGTGGGTCAGCAGGCAAGCATGAATCAGCAGACACAGCCTAGATGGTCTTGCTGCCCCAGCCCCGCTTCCTTTTGCTTTCGCTATGCCTAAAGCCTGAGCTCAGTGTCAGCTGCGGGGCCATCATCCTCGCCCACCTCCTAGGGCTAGCAAACCTGCTTCTGGTAGATGACAGCCACCCGGTACAGTATCTCTATATAACTGTATATATTTGTGTATAGGAACAATTTTTTTCAGGACCTTATTAATTGAGAAAGGGTTTCTGTGCTGGTTCCCAAGCTGTCTGGTGGTCTCTCTGAACCCTGGTTTTCCCCTAAGAGACGTGGGAACCATGAGTGTCCTCCCTTCAGGGCCAAGAGCCTCTGCTTCCCTCAGGAGGGCAGGAGAGTGAGTGAGCCGGTGGAGGGGACCGGTGGCCTCTCAGGCTGCCAGCCCCTCCCCCACCCCCAGTGGCAGTTGCTCCCATTGGGGTTTCCAGGGCAGCCCCGCAGGGTTCTAAGTGTGCTGTGGCCGTTGGTCTGTAAAGCATCCGCTTCTCCCATGTAGCTCCTGGGTGTAGAATTCTCTGGAAGCAGGGATTTCTAAAATGGCTCAACCCAGACCTTTTGTTCAGCCCAGGCTACTCTGCTCCCTCTGAGCCCAGGGAACCACATCTGAAACTTGCTGGATCACCGGCTCCTTGGGGCAGCGTGGGTATCGGCGAAGGAAGGGCCTGACGAGCTCTTCTGGCTGGGATTTCAGGGGCCTGGGGAAGATCCTGCCTTTGCCAAGACACTCCTTTCTCCTTCCAGATGCCGCCCTAGCTCAGATATGTGATGCCCACCATTAAAGATCCCTTCCCTGGATTGAAGGACAGGCTTCTATTGAACTCCTTTATGGGAAAGATGCACTCCAAGCTGCCAGCATTCTTTTGTCCTTTAATGCGAGTTGTCAAGACCCTTTTCAGACCAGCAGCTAGGGTAAAGTTGGACGGGGGGTTGTTGGGGGGGGTGGTGGTGGTAAAGGCAGAGGAACATGCCCAGGGCACCTGAGCAGATTGGGAGGGCAGGAGAAAGCATCTGAAAACACACCCCAGATTTCCTAAATGGGCTTGGTGGGATCCCAGCCCATACCTCTCCAGACTGGCAAAGAACCTCTTTTAAGGGTAGGGGTCCTGGGGCATGAGGTTGGCCCACAGGGCCCTGGGTCCAGGCAGGCTCCCGATACTGTAGGGACATCCTGATGCCTCTGTTTTCTCCCCCATAGACCTTCCAAGCAACTGTTCCCAGAAGCCATGACATGTCCCTGCAGCTGGAGGCCTTCCAGGGAGGGCCATAGAGGCCTCCTGGGCTCAGTGCTGCCTACGGAGGAAGGAAGGTAGGTAGCAGAGCTGAATCAGCATCCCAAAAGCCAACCCTGAGTTTCTTTTCTTCCTCTCCTCTCCATTGCCTAAATCGGAGGGCTGCTGCCTGAGGTGGTGGGAGGAACAGAGTGGGGCCAGGACAGAGTGGGGTCAGAGGAACAGCCTCACTTGTCCCTCCCTTTTCCTGCTGCTCTTAGGAACTGAAAATCAGAGGAGCTTTTCTGAGTGAGGCCACAAGGTGTGGTCAGCCGCTCCCTGCTTGACCTGCTCCCTCTCTCCAGCCTCTGCCTTCTGGGAGCTTGCCCTGGGCACCCCTTGTCCTAGGTGATCTCCTTGACTTCGGTTTCTGTTTCTGCCTCTGAATATTTCTCCTGTTCCTTTGTCTCTTTTGGTAGAAGCCATCTCTCCTGAGCTTTTCCATCAGTGTGGGTCACAGGGGTGTGAAGATTGCGGTGCACATTGTCCCCAGGGCATCTGCGTGGGCCTAGGCCAAACATCTCTGTATCCCAATGTGCTCTTCACATACTCTTTTCCATGTGTGCCACGAAGTGAGAAAGTTCAGGAATCACTGTTCCACTAACTCATTTTCTTCCCCTCCAACATCTGGATGTCTTTGTGTACTTTTCTGCTTCTTATCCTCCTCTTTTTCTTTTGTTCACAGAGAAAGATTGGACCCCAGGTCAAGGAAGGAGCCAAAAGACTCAAAGGGGAGGGCACCATCTGACTCCACACAAGTGCATAGCCCACTGACTCAGGTGACACTGAAGAGAAACACCTTGCTTCCCCCACACCACTGTCCCTGACTGTCAGGATTCCCTGACCTGATAGCGCTCCCACACCAAAGTCCCTCCATTGGTCAACACGAAGGAGGAGAATAGTGCATGCAGCACACCAGTCCCATTTCCTTTCCCCTTTGCCACCTGCTCTTCAATTGGAAATGACCAGGAGTCTCCAGATGGGACACCATCACTTGGTCCCCTGGAAGAGGTTTCAGTCCAACCTCCTCCCCCACTTTTGAGCTAGTCCCAGAGAGCCCCTTTGTCACCAGACTCTTGGTGTGGAATGTTAGCCCTGAAACGTTTTCTCCATGATGTGCGTTCATGGCCAGCCCCATTCCATATTTACTTGCCTTCCAATCCCAGGCTAAGGCTACATTCCCTTCATTGTCTTGATAATCTCTTCCTCTTGTGCTCCTGGAGGGCAAGACACTGTTTCTCATGCATTTCTGGATCCCTGGTGCTTAGCTCAGAACGTGGCATGCATGCTCAGCACATGCTATTTTGAATAAATTATTTCAAAATGGTGTATACAGATGTTGAATTTCTTTTCTGAAGGCAGAGATAAGGAAGGTGGAAGAAAATCTGATATAATCTGATGTGCTCAGGAGGAAAGATGAGAAGGGGTTGAGGAAAGAGTGGGACAAGCGGGTGTACATTCAGGTCGGGACTTAGGGACCAGATTTGCCTACGAGGGTGGCGGTGGTGTTGAGACTCAGTTCCACACAAGGCCGATCTTGAGGGCACTTTACGGATTTCAGATTCAGGGACTACCATATAGATGCCAAGGCAACCTACTTAGTGTGAGTAGTGGTTGTTGCCAAAACACTGGGAAAAGATAAATCCCATCGGACTCTGATCAAACAGGAATTTCCCGAGCTGCCTAAGTAAGGCTCAAGGAATTGTAGTGGAAATGGAACTGGGGATTTAAGGTATTTATCAACCCACTCTCGCTATGCACCCTCATGCTCTTCTCTTCCATTTTGTGAAGAGAGAATAGGCGGGGTTTCTAGTTATGACTTTAAAAGCTAGAATCTGAAACTGTTTCTGGGCCTCCCAGTTGCACAAGTTCCTGGGTGAGATTAAAATGTGGGGGGAAATAGTGTCTGCCCTGAAAGATCACGTGTGTGCTTGTGTGCTTGTGTGTGTGTGTGTGGGTATGTGTGCACGTGTGTGGTTTTTGTAGGTCTACGTCCCTGTGTTGGGTTCAGTGCTCTCCAGACAAGCATAGTCATGATATTGTTACATATGTTGTCTCCAACTGGAGATTGCCCAGTAGCACAGTGGTGGATGAATGGTGACCGGCAAGGAGGCCCACGAGGCCTATGGAGTCAGCTCTTCTGTATCTTCCCAATCCTGTCTTCCTCCTCTGTCCTCACTGCTGGTTCTGGGATTCAGATCATCACCTCTCCTCTAAACCTTCCAAACCTACTCCTCTACCATTGCCCACGCTGACCCCAGACTGGTCTTTCTAGAACTTGAATATGATCAAGTTATAAGCAAAAAGCCACATGGGACTTTCCTTTGCCCGGCTCATTGGCCCACAAGTCCCAGTTTGCTCTCAGCTCATCTCCCCTCCTCTTTGGTCCCAGCTGCATAGGACCATTCAGCCTTCCCCAAAGCCTACCTTGTGCTTTCCTGCCTCGAGTGCACCCTGCCTTTCCTTCCTCCTGCACCTGGTGAGCTCCTGGTCAGCTGCCAGTTCTGCTTCTGGTCTCCCAGTTCCTGTGTAGAATGGTTAGTCTTATGTATCAACTTGGCTAGTTTTATGTATCAACTTGGTAAGCTACAGTACCCACTTATTCACTTAAACACTAATCCACGTATTTCTGTGATGGTATTTTAGGGATGTGATTAACCGCTATCATTGGTTGATTTTAAATAAAGATTATCTTTGATAATCTGGGTGTACCTTAATCAATTCAATGGCCTTACAAGTAAAATTAAGGTCTTCTAGGGGAAGAAAAATTCTGTTTCAAGTCTATAGCATCTACTTCTGCCTGAGAGTTTCCTGCCTGCTGGCTTGCCCTAAAATTTAGGATTTGCCCAGCCAGATTCCACAATCACATCAGCCAGTTCCCTGAGATAATTCTTCATCTCTATATCAATCAATCTATCTATCTATCATCTATCTATCTATCTATCTATCTATCTATCTATCTATCTATCTATCTATTTATCTATCTATTATCTATCTATTATCTATCTATCATCATCTATCTATCATCTATCTGTCTGTCTGTCTTACTGGTTCTATTTCTCTGGAGAAGCCTAACTGATTGACTATCACTTGCAAAATTGAGAAAGGCATCATCTGGATTCATTGGACACTTGATATATACAATTCTTAAAAGGCTTATTTATTTTTGATTTTTTTCAATAGATTACAAGTGAAGAGATCCTGCCTTATCTGTCTTAGTATCCCTTCAAAGTGTCCACTAGGTCATACTCTCTGAATTAATATTTACAGAGCTGGCAGAGCAAGCATGGATTTTGTGGCTATTAGTCCATAAAGTCAGGGATGTCAGAAGTGTTATGTTTTCTTTCCATCTGCCTCCCAGCACCCCCGGTGCAAGAATGCAGAATATTTTTTTTTTTTAGAATATTTTCTCTCATCCGTAACTGGAGTTTTCTCCTTTTCAGAGTTGTGCAGGAATCCCTGGATCTTAAGAAGACCCAAATTATTGGGAGGATCCCTCAGGTCATTTGTCACAGGTCATTAGCTCAGGCAAATGCTATTTCTTCCATGCTGTATGCCAAGGCACATGACCCCGTGGTCCCTTAGATGCAGAGGTGCTGCTAGTTTTTGTGCCATGTTTGGGGTTGGCCTTGTCCCTGGGGTTCACCCTCTCTGGTGAACCCCGCAGCTTCCTTCTCTGAGGGCTCCCCATCTCCACCACCGTGTCTCACCCCCCTAAGTAGGATCCATTGCTTTTTTTTTTTTAAATCTCTTAACTATCTAGAAAGCGCTCCTTTCTCCTTTTGATCAGTTAAGATAACCCCTCTCTTTCTTTCTATGGGATAAGGAAACATCATCTTTTCTATGAGGTTAGGCTTTTAAGAGAGTCAGAAGAGCTGCTGATTCTAAGTAGCTTCCAGCAAAAATCCTTCAAAGCGAGAAACCTCAAAGGGCCTGGAAAATCCAACACAACTTGCTTATCCAACTAGGCTCACAGAGATAATTATCTGTCCATCTGTCCACTAAGATACCTATAACGTTCCAGAATGATAGCTGTACAGAAATGGCAGTGAGAGCAAGTGAATGTTTTTGTCCACTTATTTGCTCATATTTTCTAGATGTTTTATGATAACATGAGAACTTTTGTAAGGTGAGAGACTCTTATTAAGCCAGAAGACAGTAACGGGGCCAAAAGCAATTTCTAAAGTCAGAAGACTCAGGACCAAATTCCAGCTTTGCACTTTGCTTGCTCTATGACTCCCAAACTTCAATCAGGCTTTTGTTTTCTGAATCAAATAAGCCAATGCATGTAAAGTATAAGCTAGGATCTATTTCTACAAGACCGCATCAGAGCTCTTATCCATGCTAGATTGTGAGTTTGTTGGTAAGGTTCCCCCCTTCTTTATCTCCACCATCTAGAAGGGCCTGGTTCTTGGAAGCCAAACCAAAAGTTATTTGTTGAATGAATAACCAGATGAAGAATTTATTTCTCCCACTTCTCAGTCTCTAGAGCTCTTATTCCAAAACAGATCATTCTCTGTACTGAACATCCTCACGAGCCCCAGCTCCCCTGTGAATGTGTATGCATATTTCTTTTAAACACACTGGTTCTTCTTGGATTGTGTGACAAACTACATGGAGAGGCTTGAAGAAGCTAGTGGAATTTTCCCAAGCCGCCTGTCATGAGCCCAACAATACACATGTTTCCCTTCCGTTTTTATGTTTTTATGACTTTCTAATTACCTGAACACACACATTTTATCTCTCTAATTCTGAGTCCATGGAAAAGTTATTCACATATAAACCATGTGCTTGTGATTTGACATCTGTACTAATGAGAGACGGAGATGTCAAAATGAAAAGCTTGAAAGGTGACCACAACCTTAAAACAAACCACTACCTGATATTCCAAAGCACTACCTGAGTGGTACATTCAGCCTAGCATAAGCACATACGCTGCTTTACATACCTTGAAGATGTGTCTTATTTACTGTGTGTTGCATATTATTTGTTGCATAAGAA